CCCGATTTCCCGCTCCTTGTCGCTGACTCGCCCGTCCGCCGCACCACGAGACAGTTGACTGCCTGCGTGACAGAGCTCTGGCTGCGACGTCCAACACTCATTGCTAACTGGTAAGTGATGAGGAACTTTCCCCGACATGTCACTCACATTCATACAGGAACACTCAGAAGGATATTTTATTCACTCAAACATTGAGCTTTGGTCGGTGGAGTGCATCTGGGGTCAGGGTGAATCGGGTATGTGTATTGTAATATCATTATGGTCTATGCTCATGATCACGTCCAGAATGTGCTGTTTCATTGTGGCAGGCGGGCTCTAATAGGTGTGACTGCGACAGGCAGTCTGGTATTTACAAGATTATATGTACTGTATATACACAGTGTCTGTAGATAGCATTGCAATATATGCTTCATTTTCTTATTCATATGCAAGGAGCAATAAAATCAAGCAGCTGTATGACAGCAATCGGCGAAACGATAGAGAAGTTTGAGATTTTCCGCACTCAGCAGCCGCTCCACGGCTTACTTATTGGAGTAGGGTATCACCAATTTTGCTCCGCTAATGCTGTGTCCTGATCAAAACAAGAGTGGTGAGTCGTGGTGCACTGTGGACCCGAGTGGGGTATAATTACCTTTCCGGGCTCGGCTGCCTGCGCGAAAAATTCTGAAAGTTCTCTATCGTTTCGCCGATTGCTGGAAATGTGAAAGCCCGCTGGCCAGAAAACCCGCTTTCTCGTTGTCCAGCCCGGATGTCAGCTTGATAACCGACTCCGACCTTGACTCGACATACGAGTCAAGTAGAGGCCAAGTTGATCCTCGGTTTTTATATCGAGTCGATGTCACGCGTAGGGCCTGGTGGGGTCTGGTGTCTGACCTTGCCGAAACCCTTTTTTAGACTGGGCGTGTACAGGTCGGCGTGAGTATTACGAGCACCGAACATCGTGGTCAAGGCAGTTACACATCTAGCTGCTTGCGCTCGACCCGGAAGAGATGGTTCTCCGGGGGTAATTTGCCATGTTGGTGACTTTTGAAACGAGGCTGTTGACAGAACTTATGCGGCCCAGCCGCCCACTTAACATGAAGGCTGTGGCCCGAGGCACACGCAGGAGCACATAGCTCGAGATGCGAGCGAAGCGCTCTCAACAGAAAAATACAAGATCAGTTACAATACACAAAGACGATACCTAGAGTGACTCAATGAACACCAAGAACCTTAACCATCCCCACCCAGACGCCCATCCATCGCGGCCACATCAGCCTACTTCTGCGTAACCTTCCGGCTTAGCGTCCTCATCCTGTCAGCGTATCTCCTCCTCCTCTCAATCTCCGCGTCCACGGCTGCATTGTTCTTCCTGAAGCCCGCATCGGCCTTGGGCGCGACCGTGTAGCTGCCCAGGCTGCGCTGCGGGATCATCACAGCGTTCTTGCGCACCCTGTTCTTCTCGGTCTCTTTCGCGCGCGCCAGGATCGCGTTGAGGCGTTCCTGGCCAACTGCGTCGCCGTCCTGGGCAACCGGAATGACACGGTCGCGGTACGAGGCGCTGCGTTTAATGATGGGACGGGACCATTTCGAGACGAGGTTCTCGGCCGTGCGAGCGACGTCGGGCGTGACGCGCTTGGACTTGGTATAGAATAGTACTACGCGTCCGAGCCGCGATTCCTTCAGTACAGCACTGTCGATGTATTCGAGCTTCCCGAGAATACCAAAGATTTCTTTCTGAATGTTCAGGGCAGGGAGAGATCTATCTGGCAATGGCTCCAAGAAACGCTTGACACCTTCCAAGAGATTATTGTCTATTATGGATTGCGCAAGGGCCGTCCTGAGCGAGCGGTTAGTAGAGTCCTACGAGACCCAAGCCCGCCACTCACTTGCGAAGCACTTCCATAACTTGAGGGAGCATCTTGAGTTTAGCTGTGGCAGGCAGCTTCTCCTTGTTCGCCTGGTCGTCATCGTCGGCGGCAATGAGCATGGCCTCTCGTAAGCGAGAAACCTCCTCATCGGCGAAACGGTCCAAGACTTCTTCCTCGTCCTTCTTTTTCCGCTTCGGCCGCGAAGACTTTTTGGATTTGAGGATGGCCTCAATTTGCATATCCAACTTCAATTTGTTGGCTGCAGAGGCGGCATCTCAGCTGAGCTCGCTACAGGGATCTGCAGCATGCACTCACCCTGTTCAGGGGGCAGTTGACTGAGGTCCTCCTCGGCGATGGGCCGCCGTTTCCTCTTCCTCTGCGCTGGCCGCCTCTCCCGGTCATCATCTGCCCGACGGCTCTTGCGCGTCTTCTTGGGCGTTGGCGCCCCGCGTTTTTCCTGATACTCATCCTCGTCCGACTCTGCTGACGACTCTTCGTCGTCCGCGGGCGGGGGCGAGAGGCGCTTGCGCTGCGGTACTACCTCTGAATAGAAACACTGAGTAGCGGTAGACACCCAGCAGCACGCTTACGCACCTTCTTCTTCTGAAAGCTCGGAATCTGAACCACCGAAAATATCACGCTCGATTCTGTTTGGCTAGGAGAGGGTAAGCGAAACGTTTTGTTGGATACGCTGGGGCAGATTACGCACGTCGTCCATGTCGTAGCTGACAGTCGGCAGAATGAATGAATGGAGAGGTCACCGGGTTCGCTAAACGAAGCGCCACAAACGGGCCACCCCTTAGCGTGGAAAACAGAGCCAAACAGAGCTGCAGCCTCTCGGAGCGCCCGTTGGACTTGCTTTTTAAGATTCCGCCTTTCCTCCTTCGCCTGTCGTCTTGCCCCCCCTGCCTGCCGGAACTAAATGGCCTGCCTGCCGCCTTAAGGCTTTTAAAGCGCTCTACTCTTTTTATCCTATATATCGCAGCCCTGGAGCGCCTTCTGCGACGATTCCACTGTCTGCGCAGCCATGACGGACGTTTACGCGCAGCGGACGCCGTCCTTGACCGCCTCCGACGAGACGAGTGCGTCCAGCGATGGCGCGTCCCTCAGGACAAACTCGAGGGAGCGTCCCCTGCCTCGTCTGCCGGTTAACGACAAGAAGATGCAGCCCAAAGCTACCCTCTCACCGAAACAGTACGCTACAGTCGACAATCGTAGATCTAGCCAAACTCTCTCTAGTCTCTTGCTGCCTTCTCTTCCCTCGTCATTAATCGATACCTTACGGCAACCTCGCATACTATCGTGCTTCCTTACTCACACGTCCTGGAGGGACTTCAATGCTCTTACATGCACGTCCCGCCAGCTGCGATGGACGCTCTTCCGCCAGCCCGAGCTGAAGGACGTGGTGTTCTCCAACTATGTACCTGGATACCGGTTCTGTCTGCGCCATGCTGACCTGGATCGTCATCGGGAGATGAAGGTCACTTTAAGAGACTTGAACTTCTTCAGTGCGTTTCCGATCTATTCTTGACGCTGTTGTGGTCTGATCGCGATGTCCTCCTAGTGATGTCCCAAAGCATTCCGCTGCACCAGTATCCGATGCATGCACTGTCCTTGCTATCTGCCCTATTGCCGACCCCTGAGCAGGATGATCTCACTAACAAGTACGTGGCTGCGACTCTCGCACACTCTCGCTTCGTCCTCCTCCTCCAATCCTTGATCCATTCCGCCGTTCTGCCGCGTTCCCCCGAGTCTGAGGACGGCCGACTCAGCCTGAGTTCCATGCAGACGGGTGTTAAGGAACTGGTGTTCCCGGCACCTCTGTCGTATTTTGGGCTCAAGGGACGGGACGGATCCCTCGATGCGCGCTCCGCGAGCAGCGGTGCTCGGAGCAGTAGTCAATCATCAGCTCGAACCACACGCAGCGTCAGCTCCCTGTTTAATTTAACGACTCGCGTCACTGGTCGATCGTCTTCTGCGATGAAGATGCACGAGAGGTCCACGTCAACAATGCGCAAAAATAGGATGTCTATATTTGGTGGGAAACCGCAAGCTCCTCTCCCCCCGCCTGCAGAGGAGCCTGTCGCGCTGCGGTTTTACTCAGGTGGTTGGAGGAGAGCTTTCAGGAATCAAGGGTACATCTCAGAAGATGAGGGAGAATCTGCCGCCCTGAAGCGGCCCCATCGGCGCTTTGCTTCGGTTGGGCTGTCCTCCAGCGATTCTTCTCTGTCCAGTCCCACATCCTCGCCTTCACCGCGGCTTTTGGAGCGCGAGTCCTCGGAGCCTGGGTCGTTCATGGGTGGATCACGATCACCGCACGATATCCAGCTTGCGACATCTCGATCACGCGCGCCGATTTTGCGTGTGTTCGTTCCATGTTCACGCCTGTCAGAGGCTTCCATTCGGGCATGCGAGGATCTCCTCCTCGATGCGGGGTTGTGGGATCACTTGTCGTCCGGTGATATCGTATGCAACCTTGGCTACGTGCCCGAGGATCAAGACCAGGATCGCGATGGTCAGGCCGATTGGCTCATGTTCAACGGCTACTCCTTGGTGCTCTTTCGCCCTCCTGCCCCGCCACCCATAGAAAATCCGCTGACGTTGCCGTCACCCCTCTATTACGCCCATATCCTCCCCCTCTTCGTCGATCCCACCTACGTCCTCACCCTTCCATCGCCTACATCTCCACCTCAGATGACCCTAGCTTACATGAGAACTTCTGTGCCGAGTAAGCGTTCTCCCACGGGACGGGTACCGGTAAAGAAGTACATGTGGTTGGCTGTGCTGAAGGCTCAGCTGCGCCCAGGTTTGGGCGAGGGTTGGCAGGGTGAGTGGGTCCTGGAAGGTGAAGGGACGAAGGAGGGGAAGCAGTCACTGCTGGATGCTATCCGCGGCGACGAAACGGGCGAGCGCGAGTGGGAAGTTGTGAGGGAGAAATCCCATGGAGGAAGGATCTGGTTAAAGTAAGATTTTTCAATAGCTATTCCTACCGTCATTCATCTAACAGCGTCCCTGCTACATTTGCAGACTCCTGACTCCTGTGGGTCCCCATCCGCAACCAAGCCTAGCCAACACGTTGATGCACACTCCACGGACGCAATCTCATTATTGAACTCTTGCTGTATCCATTCCTCCAAGTAACGGTTTTGACCTCCTGTCACGGATTTCCCTCCAGAGTCCGCATTACGCGGCGGTTATCTAATAGACCTTGCTATCTTCGGATCGCTCATCCACTGTATACTTTCATCAGCATCGCTCCGACGTTACGTTTTGATCCCTAAGTGCTGTTACCATAATACCTTCGCTCTCTTGTATTGCTACCCCTCAGACACTCAAGGACTCTTCACGCCCTTTTTCCATGCAGCCACGACTTACATCATAGCATGTACATAATATACCATACCACACCAGATAGCGCTAGAAAATGGATGCGATGTTTCTTGTACGTACGGCGGTGCATATTCAACAGTTGAATCGACAATGCATCGATGGTCACCGGTGCAGTACTCATTTTTGTATTTTTATATTCTTATCGGGGCACATCTCCCTAGGTTATACAGCCAGCCCTCATACAACACCGCAAGCGCTTCCCCATTACTGCACAGTCATCCTTTCGCAATCAGACAAGATTTGCGATGGCCGTATTCACGAATTGGTTGACATCGAACCCCCCTTCTGGGCTCTTGACGACACCTGCTTTCACCAAGACACTATAGAGCACCGTCAGATTGGAGTGTATGTTCTGCTAAGGGAAACGACCCGCCTGAGAGTATCTGTGATGACCTTCCCCGGAATTGAGGCGCAATTCTGGGGATATCCGACCGTCTTCAACCATGCCTATGAGAAACGTCCGATCAACATGACACTTGGAATAAGCAAGCAGGAATGCCAACTTTGACATCCTCCTCAGGGTAATTCCATGTCTTCTTGATGAACTCCACGTCGTCCTTGATACGCTTCTCCTCAGAGTCGAAGTCACGAACATGTGTGGACAGGGTGTTCAAGAAGGTCTTAAGGGTCTCGGGCGGAGCTCGCTCGGGCGAGGGGTGCGCGGCTATGAGCCAGGAGGGCCATGGCGTAGGGACTGAACCAATCTAGTCTCCGTCCAAAGTAATTAACGGACAGGCGCAGAACGAAGGGATATCGCACTCACGAAGCGGACTTCCCCCGAGTCGACCCATGGCTTGGTCGTAAACCATTCCCACATGAACGCGCTAGTAGTGCCGTCATTGACGGATTTTACTAGTCCGTGGATGTCGTTATTCACTGCGGTGTTAGATGGGCCGATCAGTGTTGGGGGGGGGGGGGGGGGCACGAAAGAGGTGCAGGTTGTCCCTTACCTTTGAATTGAAGCTCCTCGGTAGGCCAACCCTGTTGTAGAGCCATAACGAAAGCCATGGTCTGGCTTCCACTTGAGGGTCCGATGCATGCTCATAATGAACATAGCTTTAATGCACAGTGCAACAGATACGACTGACCTTCCAGGCCTCGATATCCCGATGGGTGTGCCCTTCAGGTCCGAGATCTGCTGATACTGGGAGTCCTTTCCAGTAATGACAGCCCTAACAGCAACTTGTGTTAAGTCGTCAAGGCCAGGCTAGGGTGTCATTGGCTGAACCAACCAGTTCAGTGGGGACGTGACATAGCTCCCGACCAGTTTATATGCGTCCGACCCTTTGGCGATTCCGGAGATCAAGGGGTCGGTGAGAGCACTCGTAGTGTATCAAGTCAGATGTCTGGCTCGGATTACGGCTGCACCCTTCGAGGATGCTCACATGGCAACATCAATTTCATCGTTAGTCAACCGTGAAATGAGCTGCCCTGTTCCGCCTATACAGCGGCGGTAGCTCGTAAGCGACCTGTTGTGACCAATGGAAGGTCTGCAACTTACTGGGGCATTCTACCAGGACGAAAGTCTTGCCCTTATCCTCGTCGGCGTATTGCAGCAAGGGTGACGAGAAGTGTTCTCGGACTGTATAGGTGAGCGGTAGATTCGTTCGTCCATGAACGTTGGCCTCAGTTACACACGAGTGAAGAACGTACCGTATCCAACACGCAAAGGCGCCATACCTTACCTTATGGGCGTGTTATTAACGTTGATACAAAACCAGTGAGAGTTAGACGAGCTGAACCCGTCTACGCCCGTTTACTCAGGAAACTGGAATGACTAAGTAACAAGAATATGTTCCAATTGTGTTCCAAACCCGTACTTGAGATGAATGACGAAATCGGTGGCGACCGAGGAATAGAGTGCGATAAGATAAATTCGGATTACTTCAACTTGTCCGGGGAGATAGCAGTAGCGCATCGCAGCTTACTCTCGCCGTGATTTTTGTTATTAGCTGTACATGTTACACATGGCGGAAGTGGTGAATTCTAGGTAGTTTGTGAGGGATCGAGTAGTTATGATTTCTGCGTCCCAACTAGCGTCTATGTCCTTCCAGTATTGGATCTCGCTCCGACTCAAAGAGGATATCAGACATATCCATCCCGTCTAGCTCAGAACCCCGTCGATAGACCGCGTGCGCCCTCCTGGACTGGATGGATCCAATATCCCAGGGACCGACGTCTCGTTCGCTGTCGCCTTCTTGAGTGGGGAGATGGAGTGACTTGGGTCGCACGGGCAAATCCAGCTTAGGATCGTCCTCTACGGAGTTTCTGGCTGTTTCAGGGGGCGATTGTAGGAAGTCGGAGCCGTATTGGCATCCTTGGGAGCGCTTATCCGTGGAGAGGTCGAAGTCGTGCCAGGCGGTAGCTTCCGGATCTGCAACACCAAAATTCGTGACGTCCGGCGTCACCATTCGCGAAAGTCGCGGTCTGAAGTTACTCGACTGTCCAAAAGGATAAGGGTGTCTGTCTCCATTGGAGTCATGGTTTAGCAGCCTGTAGAAGACATGCGTGCGCAAGGCATTCGTAGCCTTTTGCCATAGTCAGCAGGGATAGTCGGCTTTAGAATGCAACCGGTCGCACCTGCCGGTACCCGAAAATAACAGAAACTGCTAAGGGAACTGTCAATCAATGAGTTAGCTATACCGTTCCCCATGAATTGGACGAGGCACGTACAGGTCGAGACGAAAATGTCAGAAGAAACCTTAGGAGCAACGTCAGTACATAAGCACAGATTGTCGAGCTAATATGAACCTTACGTTCGTCCATTTGGATATGCCTTCTGCAATGAAAACCATCCCAATGAAGAGATAGGCGATAAATACTACGGCGCGCGCGATGAAGGGAACATCAAAGAGATTGTGGAAACTCCCTCGAACACGGGCCCTAAATAATAGGTACATTATGCGAGCTGATGATACTGACATGAACTTCTTCGTCATAGATGGAGGGTCTCTGGACTCACAGGCGAGGGCGAACGTGGGTATGATGAATATTAAGCTGAACACGCTAGCTGCGACTAGACTGGAGAAGAGACGGATGAGTACAAGTTGCGAGACCTTCCCCATGACTTACGTCTGACTTTCATCTATGGTGCAGTAGAGGACAGCTCGCGCGATGTGGTCCCGATTTTTCAATCCGACCTAGGACGTGATTGATGATGAGCAGTGTCCAGGACCACTATACTGAGGCGTGCTCACGATAAGTAAGGCAAGCGACCACACAACGCCCACCACACACGGTAGCAGGGAAAGCTAGACATGTACAAGGTGAATCTTGTCACAATTGTAAAGAGTGGCGTGAAAGTCTTTCGAACTCACGATGATTTTCCTATGAGGACACTCCCAGACTAACCGATTCGCTGGTCTTGTGGCGCAGAGTATGCTATACCAAACCTGGCAATACCGACTTCGTAAATCACGGCAATAGGTTCAGAGGAAGAAACCGACTGAAAAGGTAAGGGAGAAGGATGCTGACGCAGTACTATGAACTTGTCAATGCTTAATCTTAGACGGTAGCTGCCTTTGCGTACATTGGAGTTACTATCGTGCTGAAAATATAGCTGGCAACGCAGACGCCAGGGGAAGGAGGTGGTCCTTCGGCTTGGCCAGCGTAGAAGCTAGGGTTATTGTAGTAGTCAGAACCGGTTCCTATACGGATATGCCCACGTACAGTAACATCATCCCAGGAAACGGGATCCACCAAAAAGATAGATAAAATGACATGAGGACCGAATTTGGCGCCCTGATTGGAAGTGGATGTTAGCAAGTCATACAGAGAAAGTATGATATGCATACCCTTCTCCTGCAGATGAACAGAGATGTGATGCAATTAGCATTGTAAGAAGTACGCCGCCTATGAACTGTATCCAGAAGTAAGCCTCGAGCCTTGGGTCGTTCTCGAACATGGTTGTGCCCCCGAATGAAGATCAAGCTCAAGATAAGATAACAGTACTGGGTACATTAGCCGTCGAGAGTTGAGAGCGACGCGACAGACTGGAGTGCCGTAACAAGGGCAGCAGGGGAGAATGTGAGGGAAGCATTCCGCCTCGGCCGTCTACACCTCTCGGCGCAAGGGAGCGGCAGCATGACCAAATGTTCGACATGCCGAGGTATACCGCCTAATCGTAACTTGTCTCTTTCGTCTCCATCTTGACGGCGGCAGGCCAATCAAGGCGGAAGTCGATCAGGTTTGCTTCCGCGAGTCACGATACGGCCGGGGCGTCGTCGAGGCCCGCTGGAACGATGTTCGGCCACACCAGCTTCGTACTAGTATTCCTCCAACAGTATCAAATTTATGCATATTGTACTCGAAGGATTATAAAAAATAGTGCGAGTGACCTTGAGTAAATTGCCTGGTAGACTCTCGCCGGATTGACATAGGAACAGGGGTGCCCTTTCGGCTATTGCCGGACTTTCCTTTATGGTGGATTCGGACAGTCTCAGCGCAGCTCAAGATCTTGCTATCCCGCCGTTTCACGATGATGGTATGCGATTTATTCCTGGACACTCTTTGAGGAACCCCTGTTACATAGATGGGAGCTATTATAATAACCGTTTGAAGCGCGGCATCAATCCACTTCAGACGATTCTCATGTCATCATAATTGAGGAATTAACGGAGAGGTCATGATTCAAGGCCCTACATCGGATTCTTGTTTCAGATACAGCGTCTCCGAATCGCTCAGATAAATGAGGAATGGTTGGACGTGAGTGAACGCGAAGGTCGGAAACTTCGCCTGACATCCACATCCATTGCTAGGACCCGCGAAGGCGAACACGCCATCTTGTTCATCGCAGGAGTCATACTATTTCCCTCCGTCCAATTTGCTCTGATGGAGGCGCTTTCGAAGATCAGCAACGGACTAGAATAGGAACTTCGGCCATGTCCGCGCTTGTTAGCATACAGGATGCCTCTGGGTAGACCAAATATGGGTAGATAGTGAGTGGGACTGTTGAATGCAGACTCAGTAGGATCCAACAGAGAAGATACAGGAGACGTACATATAGCAGCGAACATGTATGCCGTAAGCTGTAGCCGAACGATTATCAGTGATGTATGCATTCATGCATATCGACTTCAACTGATACTTGACCAATCCCATACGGCACCGATAACGAAACACGTTCCGACGTAGAGATAGGCTGAGAATACGATCGACCCAACAATGAAATCGATGTCAAGCTCGCGGACCCGAATCTTGATTATAACGAGCAAAACCGGCGCTGTAGCTATTAGTGTGGCTGTATGGCATGCAGCTGATTCGGCCCACCGGAGAATATGAAAGCCGAAAACATGAATATCAAGCTGAAGATACTTATAATCATGTCGCTAAACAACATAGGCGGACATGAGCGAAATGGTGAACCACTATTTAGGAGACCACGAAGAAGTTCTGAATGTCTATGGCACAGCAGAAGACCTTTCTTACCACTTCGGGCTGGTTTTTGAGGCCGGTCTGTAACATCAACTGCGTGAATAGGGGAAATATTATTGACTCAAGAATCTTAACTTGCGATCACTGCAGCAGTCACCCAGCAGAGTCCGCATCCATGTAGCAACATCGCAAGTTGAGCGCATTGTAAGAGGAGAAAGAAGCATCAGCCAGTTATACGGAGATTTTCAACGAGCGTTTGTCTGGGTAAGCCTTCTTGACTGGCTTCGTCGTCGCGCATCTCGCGTTGCACCAAAACTGCGAGAAGTGTGTCAGTAATCACGACGGTGTCACGTAATGGGACACTAGCGGACATGAGAAGTGAGTGTGAACGATGCGGCAGCATTACTAAGGGGAAGACAAGTATCTTATGCGAGAAAGCGACGATGAGCACGTACATGGGCGATATAACCGAAGTGAACACTGCGCTTGCGACACATACGCCTGGTTACAGAGGCGATCCCAGCGTGAAACATGGTGTGTTCACTGTCAGTACCTGTCGAGCAAGGAATAACAGGAAACGCACAACATAAGGACACCTGGACATGATGCTTATCAGCCAGAATGATATAAAGAAGGTGGCAGTGGGACTCGAGTGGTAACTAAGACCACGAGCAAGAAGGGGCGTCTCAAGTCAGCAAGAGAGTGCGAATCCAGGGAAAGGACGGACGGAAGGTACCCCGATGGCCACAGAGACGACACGATAAGAGAGTCAGTTGCCGACGATCTGCATCCAGAAGTAATATTCGACTTTCTGCTCCTCCCCCCCCGGAACATGACGAAAGGTCTATAATTTAGGAATATTAATAAAGTCTATCCCTTTGCAGGTCCGAGAGGTGGTGCTGGTAGTTCGCTTCAGTTGAAGTGGCGTCCGAAGCAAAAGAGCGATGCTCCATATTCCTATTATCATCAAAAGTGCCGGGGGAGGATGTCCCAAGATTACATTGGCATGACGGAAGTGAGGGGTCGCGAGGGCGGGAAGAAAGGCTCGGGACGGTCCTCGAACGGACCCGGTTCGGATTCAAATGGTCGATCGGGTTTGCTTCCACAAGGACGTTATCCCGCTTTGCGAACAATGTATCGTGTGTCATCCAAACATGGTTCAGTGAACGCAGACGGCACAGTAACATGAGGGCAGCCGGGGGACAGTGACTTCAAGTTCGTCGCTGCCAGCAAGAACTACGAGTTGCTATTGGATGGCACGCAGCCGAGGAGTCTTCGGCAACCGCCGGACCCGCGTTTGAGCACCGATTGCTAAGACCAAGCTCGTCGGGACACAAAAGCGATCTACGTGAGTCTTGTCGTGTATCTGAGCATATTGTACCGGGTACTGTACCCCTCACCCGACTAGAACTTCCAGTGGTAAATCATGAGTTTCACGTTGCCACATGTGGAAACGTCCCCCAAACGCGTCCACGTATACTTCAACGATAAATGCATAGTAGACACCAGGAATGCCAAACTCGTGTAAGCATGTATCAGTCTCGTTCACTAGTCGCGCGACGATGGTAACCAAGACCTCTCTGCCAGCTGGGAGCACCCAAACTACCCGGTCTACTACTTCGTCGCTTCTGACATCCCGAAGGAATTCCTTCAAGAGAAGGCAGGGACAAACACTTACGATGTAGTTGTAGAGGGCCGTCGTGCGGAGGGCGCAGCGACGCAATTCACACAGGGCGATCTGAAAGGACTGATCAAGCTTGCAGCGAGTGCGATGGACGCGTGGTTCGAAGAAGACAAGCAGTTTACCGGGCACCCCAAGGATCCGTATAAGGTGGTGGGGTCTATTCCCTTGTTTACATCCATTGTGGCAGAAGGAGACTCATACACAGACTGTAGAGGATTGATGTACTACCGTCGTCCCGTCATGTCCGCGTGGAGGTCGAAGGCGTGGAGGTCGCCAACTCCCAACAACCTCGTCTGTTGTTTGAGACGGGGTTGATCACTCGGTACTACATACCGAGAAGCGATTGCCGGATGGACCTGCTCGAACCGTCCGAACTGACTACGCACTGCCCATACAAGGTAGGTCGATTCTGCTCGTCAACGGTCGACATAGCTGACGTTGCATCTCCCCTTGTCAGGGCGATGCTAACTACTTCAATGTGCGCCTCCCAAATGGCAAGTTGGTTGAGAACGTTGTCTGGTACTACGACAGTCCTTATGCCGAATGTGCGGACGTCAAGGGCTGCTTGGCGTTCTACGACGAGAAGCTCGACGTGTGGCTTGACGGGGAGAAGCAGCCGAGACCCAAGACTCCTTTCCGCCGGGATCAGAAAGCCTGATATACCCATATCTATAGCGCAAGTGCGAGTCCATGTTAAAGAGAATGTACGATGGAGAAGTATATGTAAACGTACAGTACCGTTGGTTTGTATCGGTCAATTTTTTCTCTTTGTACTATTAGTAGCACTCCAATACGTTTGACAAGACACAACAGCCTGTCAGCTACGAAGGCTTGATCATCAATGGGGTGGAGGGGCATAATACAGGGCAAGAGAAACCAGGATCCATCCAAATTCACAGTAGAAGCGCCGCGATCCACATGAGTATTTAGGCTCGTACAGCGTAAGTCATTTCCTTAGCACTCGTTCCAGCAACCCTCGCCGTCTGGGCTTATGCGACACCGTGCCAGTGATTGGTGCTGCGGATGACAGCCCTGAAAGACGATCGTCTCTCAGGCCGAGGGCGTATCGGCCCACGGACCGCATAAGAGAAGCGATCCAGCCCATCATGCCCGGTAGGACGGTATAGCTTCGTCACGCGTGGAAGGCGTATTTATGACTTGTCCGCTTCACAGTGCGGTGGCACCTGCTCCGTCTCGACTGCTACATCCGCTCCCAGCCTAGATATTTCCGAGAAGATCTCGCGGAGGCGGTCAAGATCGGGGTCCAGGGACTCCGCGCGTGTTTTCATCTGTACAACCGGACAAATGCATCAGAGAGGATAGAAGGTAACAGAGTAAGTCGGAACGCACAGCAGCTATCGTGTCGCTGGCAGCAATGAGTTCATGATGGTGGTTGTATACCAAGGCTTGGCGTTCGCTATCTAATTGACGGATTTCTAAACCTGATGTAGGTATGGTTAATCAAGGGACAGGAGGGGAAAAAACTGACCAGATAACAGCTCGTTCTCGCGTCTAAGCAGAGTAGGCAAGGAAGCGGTCGTGATTAACTGGTCATAATATGCCTTCGCGTCAAATGCTGGCGAATCTACCCGAGACAACTCAGTATAACTGATTGGACAATCAAGAGAAGGTACACTTACCCAAGTCCATCGGATCTCTCTCTTTGCCACTGGGCTGCGGCACACCGACTCCGAGTCCATAGTGCTTCCTGAGTAGATCCCTTGCCCTGCTGCTCTGCTTGCGCTCTCTATCACCTGGAAGCGGGGATGTCGGTGGTACTGGAAGCGTTGCAGATCGCAGTGGCGATGGCGGGGGTAGGCGTTTAGAGGGCGTGATGGGAGACACAGGCAGGTTAGACATCATAAGCCAGCTGAAGGCTGGGGAAACCCTAACCTAAATACTCCGATCATAATTGCTGCTTTCGCGAGCTATTTTTGGTTCTCTCGATCTACCAGACTATCAACTCAGGACAGGACGGGCTCTATTCTGCACGAACACTTCCGGCTGCTGCCTTGGTCTGGGATATATTATTGCAAGTCAACGTCCCGCCTGTAGGGACTGAGCTTCAAGAGCTATAAATCATGTTCAAACGCGTGGAGAAACGTCTCAAAAAGGCTGCAAAGGAGGAAGAGCTCGGCCTCGACTCGGAGATGAAGGAGGCTCTAGGGTTGAATATGGTCGACACTGACTCGGATGAGAGCGATAGCGACAGTGATGAAGGAGAGCTCGTATCTGAGAATGGCAGCGGGGACGAGCATGGCTCGGAGAGCGCACAGGAGGATGGGTCAAACGGCAGGAAGAGGAAGCGCTCGGACGAAGACGAGGGTGATGATGATGAGGGAAGCGATGACGAAGAAGTGAGCGAAGAAGATGGGGAGGAAGAAGAGGAAGAAGAAAGCCATGAGCGAGGAGCAAATGAGGTCCCATTTGCAATGACCGTCGCCGAAGCGCTGTCAAACCCCACTTACATCAAATCCCTTGACCCCGAAATTCAAGCCTGCATTGTGTGTCCAGGCAAAATCCTCAAAAACAAAAGGATGGCAGAGGTCCACCTGGAGTCAGGTGTGCGTAGATACCATTTGCACGGTGATCATGTTCGTTTTAAACCTTCTTTTTTTAGGGCCACAAACGTCGCTACAGGCGTTTTGTCAAAGCAGCGAACTCTCCTGATGTGGATAAAGATGCAGATGTACGGACAGTGGTATCCACGACCCCGCTTCCGCCTCCGATATCCGCAAACTCCAAGCGTGCAGAGAAACGGGTGCGTTGCATCCTAAGCTAAGTCCCTGTGTTACACTTAAACTGTTCCTTTGTCCTGTCGTGCAGAAAGCAAGACTAGCGGCTATAGAAGAGAAACGAAGACGGCAAAAGGAAGCCAAACGTAAAGCACGGGAGGAGAAGGAGAAAAAGAAGAAAGCGGAGGCTGATGCGTCCGGTGCTTCAGTTATTGAACCAGCCCAGCCCGATGCCGCAACTTCCGCTGCGCCGAAGGCTGACTTTGGAGACGATTTCGTTCCGCTCGGCGACGGTTCGCCCTCAAAAGGCAAAGGGAAGACCAAAAATAAATCTGGGCCGCGGGCGGAGAGGATGCGCAAGGACAAGGATAAAGCGCAGGCGGAGACTGAGAAACAGAAGCATGAAGGAAAGAAAATAGTGTCCAAGAAGAAGAAGCAGAAGATGATACACGAGCGGGGTAGTAAGGGGACGACAAGGCAGTCCGGTGAGGGGAAGGATGAGCCTCCTGCGAAGAAAGCGAAGCTGGACGGGGCTGCTAATGGTGTTTCTCCGGCGAAGAAGGAGTGGGCCAGAAGGCAGAGGGGCAAGAAGGTCAAGGCGAAGTGAGTCCGGCCAAGGGGTCACTTCTTGATGACTTTTCTTTCGTGGGTAGGAAAGTGGATCTGTCTCAGGTATCTATGCAACTTCGAAGAGACCATAGGAAATATGCAGGCTCGTTATGGTCATGATCGTCTTGTAGCCAACTCTTCCCCAATATCGAGTAGGGTCCCAAATAAGGGTAAGTATCACGGTCGGGCAACATTGCGGTAATGCGCAAGAATTCCTGGCAGGGCCTTGCTGCTGATTCACACTCCCCGAGCCTTATCGAGCAGTCGTCAAATCCGACTTTATGACCGACGCGGTCCGTTGCCGTGCAGCCCGGCGTTGTCTATCTACGCTCGCGACGACATATCGCGTGACTGTGTTTTTGCATCCGACTGTGACACATCACTGTGCTTCTTTGTAGTTCGTGTTTACTTCGCTCCAGTCGGCCATCCTTTTGCTGCCCGAGCTGGAAGGCACGACAGTATTGACTTCAGTATCCCTTGACAAAGCTTTCCTAGAGGGTATCGCGCAATCGTACCACAGCCTGACTGCGATACTCAAGACTTCCCCTCGGTCATCAGCCCGACCGGGACCGAGGGGCTGACTTGTGTCTCGCAGTCAGGCGGGCTTTAGAGAGCCATAAGCGCCCTATTGCGTATAAAAGGTGCTGTCGTGCTCGCGTAATTAGGGTAAAAATCACAGCTTTCGAAGGTCGACATGTCTAATTCAAAGAAACTCATCCTCGTTATTGGCGCAACGGGTGCCCAGGGGCTCGCGGTCATAGATGCTCTGCTTGCGCCTAGCGATGACGGCACGCCGTCACCGTATGCCATACGGGCACTCACGCGCAACCCTAACAATGACCGCGCCCGCGCATTGGCAGGGAAAGGCGTGGAGCTGGTCCAAGGTCCGTAAAGGATTTGAATTTGTGATAGCGGTTATGCACTACTAAGACTCTGACTGCTTCAATTCTAGGCTCAGTGGATGACTTTGCTGTCGTGGAGAAAGCCTTGACAGGCGTCTACGGCGCTTGGGTCAACACGGATGGTTTCGTGATCACAGAACAGAAGGAGATCTACATAGGAATGAGGATCTTCGAACTAGCGAAGCAAGTCAAGTCGGTCAGGCACTACGTTTGGAGCAACCTCGATTATGTGACCAAGGTAGAATGCCTATTTCCTTCCCCCGTTTGCATTCGCCCGCTGATGTGAGCATTCAGCTGGCTAACTACAACCCGGACTACAAGTGCGACCACTACAATGCCAAGGGCAGGGTCGCTGACTGGATGAAAGCACAACCTTCCGTAGTGAGTGATAACGATATGTCCTGGTCCGTGGTCACCACCGGACCCTACATGGAGATGCTGAATATCGTAAGCCGTTCAACTCATGCATGCAGCCGGATAGCCCCTTAACACGACTTCTTGAATAGCACATGTTCGGCCCTCTTAACAAACGCGAAGACGGCACGTACGTGTTTGCCAGTCCAGTGGGGAACGGGCATGTCCCCATGATCGCCCTGGGTGACCTCGGCTGGTGGGCGCGCTACACGTTTGACCACCGTGCGAAGACATCCACGAAGGATCTCGAGATCGCCAGCGACATTGTCGGGTGGGACTACCTCGTCGCTAGCTTCCAGACGGTCACGGGTAACAAGGCTATCTTCGTGAAGCAGTCGCTCGATGAGTGGTTCGCGAACTTGAATGGTATCGATAGACCTGTCGCGCGGGAGCAGAAGGTAGGTGACGGGACGACCACTTGGAGGCAAAATTTTTCGGGCTTCTGGAGGGTGTGGAGGGATGACATTGTCAAGCGAGATATGGAGTGGATTAGAAAGGTCCATCCCGGGACTCGCTCCCTAGAGAAGTGGATGAAGGAAGTAAGATACGAGGGGAAGCTGCGCGGAGATTTGTTGAAGGACGTCCAAGATAGCGGAGGTCAGCCTTTCAACCTTGAGAGGACGAAGGGCCTTTGACAAGGGTCGTCGGACGGTCCCAAGTGGGATGAATCCGGGAGAATTTAGTACCAGTTGCTTTGGAATCCGTAGCATGTATTTCTCTGGCATAGATCAACCATTATCGACTCAGATATGCGGGAGAGTGGCTTCCGATGGAAGGCCTCCAGGGCCGGAATGCAAGGTGTGGAAGAAGAGCCTAAAACCTTGCAGGTCGCTTCCAGCTACCACCCGAATAGTTCCTCAAAATTCGGGTCATCGCAGTCCCATGCAGGAACGACGCACATCGCTCCGTGACGAAAGCGGATATATGATGAAAACGATAGTCCGATGGGCACACCAAACCAGCAATAAATACGAAAGCTCTACTCAATCACAGCGCCTCAGCTCAGACTCTGCAATACCCTATCGGTCATCTCGATGACCTGATGTATATCTGGCCTATCCTTCGGGTTGACCTTGAGCATACTGTCGATCAAGTCGTTCAAGCCCTGAGAGTACGACGACGCCGGATGCTTGTACCGCGCATTCATGACGGCCATGGCTATTGAGCCTCCCTGTTCCGTCGTCTGCAGATTCTCGAAGGGCGAGTGAGAGTAGGCGAGGGCATAGAGCGTGCAGCCCAGTGACTGCGAGGGATATCAAAACGGGACTTGCGGAATCGACGACCGAGACTGGGCTTACCCATATGTCAACTTTCTCGTCAAGCATGATGCCTGTCTTGACATCGAAGAGTTCAGGCGCTCGGTAGGCCATGGTACTCTTCTCCGCCGCAATATCCTGCAGTTTATATAAGCTAACCTGCGATGCGAGGTGCTATCTGAGGGTTAAGCTGACCTGTTGCAGCAGCGCCTGTGAACGGTTCTCGATCGGTATCCGGGCCTTCATACAACTCCCAAAGTCCATTAATATTGGAGTGACGCCGTCGTCGGCGATCATAATATTCCTACAGGCACCAAGTAAGAAGGGCAAAGCTGGAAAGAGGGCGGAGATACGCACCCAGGTTTCAGATCTCTGTGGGCATATGGTATCAATTCCTTCTCGCCGGTGTGGTCATCATTGGCCAGCTCCTGGTCTCCGTCATACACGACGTCTCCCTCGTCCTCGGCTTGCCGCGTTACCAACGGTACGCTCGCACCATCGTAGGAATAACCACCCTCGTTATCGCCCTCAGGATGCGGGAGCATCTCGTCCGAGTGTCGAGATGGGCTGGGACTACGCTGCTGCCGCCGAGATGAGGACCCGAGGTTCGTCCGGGAAGGATTCGTGGATGCCTTGGGCCCGTGGTAGTCGTGCATTGCACGGACGGCTTCGCACGTCCCCTTGAACAGGCGTAGCATGTCCTTTTCTGAGAAATGTGAGCCGTTGATGAGGTTGGCGTTGATAGCGTCTTGCAGGTTGCCTCGCTAGGGAGCGTTCGCAGGCCGGTAGAGCGGAGGCGAGAGGTAGGCGTACCTTGTATAAGGGGAGGAAGAGGTAGACAATTTTACCGTCGCCTTCTGGGTCTTGGACGACAGCCGAGTCCTACGGCCTTGTGAGACATTATAGGAAATAACGCAGCTGCGCAAGTGGAGGAATGTACCAGGATGCGGATGATGTTTGGGTGTCTGTTGGGAGTCAGTCAAGCAAACCATAAACGTACGGTGACTCACGTACTTGAATCTTCTGTAGGCTTCCACCTCCCTCATAGCTTCCTTCACACCCTCTGAGCCGGTAGGACACCGAATCTTCTTCAGGGCGAATTGCCGCTTATATGTTCTGGATTAGGCCAGGCGCGTACCTTAGAACCACAGAATGCTCACCCCGCTGCTTTCATCCTGGGCCAAATACACGAATGAGAAGCCTCCCTCCCCGAGGACCTTGACGATATCGACTACCGAGGCGGTCAACTACTGGGATGACGCGCAGCAAGCGAGTGAACGTACATGTCCTTCCATTTATTTTTACCTTTGCCGACTGCTGACATATGCAGGACGACAGCGCCCAAAGCGCGTCCTTTGCCTGGTCCTTGAGATTATCCAAGACCTTGAAGAGCTGAGGAGGGAGAGCCATTGCGAACGAGTGCCAGTTCAGCCACTGGCAGCATTGCTACGAAGGATCAAATAAAGGCAAACAACACGCCTCCGACGCCAGACTCTACCGGTACACCGGCCGACGCTGCGCGATCTACTCTCGTTCATGGCAGCCTTGCCCACCTTTGACCTCCCTCTTCCGCCTGACGAGCCTCCGGATGGTTACGGTCCTCTAAATCATTATGACTACACCGCCAACTTGGGAACATGTCATGTCCAGATTTGGACATCAGGTTCATTTCATGGGCCACAATGACCTCGAGTCGTCGTGGCATGCCGGCGGCACCCACAACTCCGGCAAACGTTGATCTAATCGTGTCGCGTAGATACTATTGATAATGCATCCTTCTGCCTGCGATGTCTCTGACTCCCTGATAACAAGATCATGATCTGATCTTGACTCTATATCTTCCCGATGTAGTCGCTAGGTGGTGAGCCCATATTGTCAGCCCAGCTGGGCTCGACGTTACCGATAGAACTTGAGTGCAATAGTCGAGTAAGGTATTGATGGTGGTGTATGGTCACATCTGCATTTACAGTATACATCCGTGCTCTGCTAACTGAGCCTACGTCTTTTTCGACTCGTATACCCTCCTCCCCCTGCCACGCCATTGTTGCAATCCCAACCTTCATTGTCCTCATCAGGGCC